CTCCTTACTTTAGACATTATAGCACCATGTACTTCTGTTTTGCAACAATCTCAGTTGCAATTGTTTGTATTAGCATTTGGCTGAATTTTCAACACACACTGTGATTCTCCTATAACTCTCTTAGACAAAAAAAAAAAGCTATAAATGAAACAAATCAAAGATCACTGTGTGAAAGTTCTATGCTAAGAGATGTGTATAGGTAAGCCCCAAAGGGGAGCTTTTTACCTAGCTTGAGAAGGTTTCTTGCTTTAGGTGACAATCCACCCAGTATTTAAAGGTTGGGTATGTATTCACTAGGAGAAGAAAGGTGGGATATCTCAGCAAGGGGAACAGCATGTGCAAAGATATACACACATAAAATAACATTCCTCAAGGATATGAATAGTGTTAAGTTCATGTAGACAGATGGAAGAAGATAAGGCAAATCATCAGGGAATTTTGGACCAATCTTAAATTGTTGACTATCTTAAATGCTACAAAGATTCAGAAAAGCAAAATCCTTCAGGAATTAGAGTTTTTGGGGTGATTGTGTTGGCAGTGTGGAGGCTGGATTGAAGATAGTTGGACTGTTTTTCATAAAGATGTTATAATAATCAGGCAAGAAGTGATGAGGGCCTGAAAGAAGGCAGGAACAAAGTGGATAGATGTGAGAGATGTTAAGGAAGTGGTATCTCTAATATCTCTGACCGATTGGAGGTGAGTTAGCAAGAGGAGACTAGGATGGCTCGTAGATTTTTGAATTTGGAAAATGTATAGATGATGCAGTTTTCTACTAAAATGTACAGCTTAGTGGGTTTTGGGGAAAAGAGATATGTCCAGGTGTAGATTTGTTGTCATCAGATCAGAAGTCATCAACAGTCTAAGAAATTTAATATGTAGAGGAATTACAGTGTCTTATGAGAACTCAGAGGCAGCTGTGATTGATTTGGGGTAGAGGTGGGAGATCAGAGAAAATTTCCCAGAGAGAGCACTGTGGCATTTGTAGTAGGTCTTAAAGAATGTGTGGGATTTTTAGAGTCAGAGAAGAGTTCAGGTGGTCAGAGTGAAAATGCCTATTTGGAATTGTGCCTCTATTTTGGTGGTGAGTTTTGGCTAATAAGCAAATGTTGCTTCCTTGAAATCCACAAGTATTAACTCTCTTGGATTGATTGACTTCATATTTCTTACAATAAACAATTCATACTTGGCTACCACAAGTTAAAAACATTTTCCTTCTACTTAACTCATAACTCATCTATAAAAGTTTTTTTTTTTGTTTTTGTTTTTTTAAAGATGATAAGCTCTGCATTTATTCAAAACAACTTGTTAAAGTATTATTAGAAGAGAATGGAAAATGCCCAACTGTAGCAGCAAATCCTGAAGTATTACTTATTTGAAGACTGGGGTCTTGGGATGGGAAGGTTGGAGAAAAGCACACGAGAAATCTTAGTCTTTAACTGTACTTCAGAAGGTTTTATCAGAAAACTATAAAAGTAACATTATTCTTTGCCTTTTTTTTCTGTTTTTAGTCTGATAAGATAATATGTACTTATGTTAAATGAGAATTATGACCCTGTATCTCATGATGATGTGATGAAACATAGGACAGGATGGAGATAAATATAAAGTCTGAATTCTGGGTGCTGGTGCTTTTAAAAGTGGAGTTCGTTCTTTCATGGACACACATCTATTAAGTGTGGCTAGAAAGCAGATGGTGGCATTTATTAAGCTTGGACATTGTATCTTTAAACGAGAGGTACCTCTTTCAGTTCAGCTCAAGTTTCTTAAACTGTATGAAGCTTTTTCTAATTGCTTACTTCCCCCTCAAAAGAATGAACCACTCCCTTCTTTGTACCTTCACTGAGCTCTACAGTGCTACTTGTACTGCAAAGTTGTGTTTTACTAATGGTTTACACATATCTATTCCTTTGCTAGCATTTTAGGGCAAGGAATTAGTTGTAGTTTCTAAATGTTTGTG